CAAAGCTATAATGCAAAAGTTAAATTCTCACATATTCAATGCAAAACGGGTGTGTGTGTGAAGAGAGTCAAGTGCAACGCTGTACAATAATAAGTTGACCCAATTCCCGACCTTAGAAGTCAAATTTTTCCTTACTTTGCTCGTGGGATTCACACACCCCCAAACTTATTTTCTTTTCTCTTTCCAAGGGTGTAACTTAATGTTAAATTTTCAATACTAATTTCTTACACCACTCAAGTTTGGTTAGATTTTACTGATTCTAGTTCCACACATGTTGAGGATTCTCCTTATTTTTGACTGCTTCAACCTCTAGGAATCAACCAAGTTACTAACCCCTTATCAAAGGTCTAATCCTCTAAAACAAGTGTTCGGGGCTTAATCAAGGCATTTGATATCTATTTTTTTCTCTTTTTTTTTTTATTTTTTTTTCATTTATATCTTTATTCTTTAATCACTCTTTGTGCGGACGTCTCTCCTTTAAGCTTTCTAAATGACCCCTGTAGCGAGTTTTAGGCCGATAACTCCCAAATCAGATGACTTTTGGACACCAGGTTTTAAACCCTTACAGGCTTAATCACTCGAGTCATAAAGGCAATGAAAAGACGATTCACAATGAGATTATTAAAGTTGTCCTCATTGGGATTTTTTTTATGCGGTGATTAGTACAATGCCCCTTATTAAACACATATCCTCGAAAATCGACCTCTGACTTAAGGTTTTCACCCAATTTTTATCCTATTAGTCTCAGACAATCCACACAAAAATTAACACACACGAAATCCACATTTATCTTCAAATTTCCCTACAACAGTGCAATCATCCAAACGTCCTAAGTTTGGTTTAAGGGTATTGTGATGTTTAATGGTTGTTTGGTTTTAGCATCTAAGTTCTCTATTTCAACATATAAACATGAATCAACCTCCTCATGTACAACGCTACAATCAACTCACGTGCAAAAAATAATTTTCGTTTCACATGAATAAGCAAAAATCTAACTCAAATACATAACTCGTCCACAATTCATAAATCAATGCATGTTCTCAATTACACATATCAATCCCGGTAAGGTTATCTAACACACACAAGCATGCAAAAACACGAAATGAAAAAAAAAAAATTTTTGAGTAAAAACACAAACAAATAAAACAAGCAAATCACACATAAGCATTCGAGAAACTGAACAATGTAAGCAAATGATGTCACTCCCCCAAATTTAACTGAAACATTGTCCTCATTGTGAAATTTAAAGGAAAATGAGGAGGACTTCCCTGAAATGTCAGTATTGCCTATGATGTTGTGGTGTCTTGGTGTTGCATTTGATTGACTCTTCTTCTACATTTTCTCACAAACTTGAGATTTGTCTCATTTTCTCCATGTCCATGTTGGTTTGAGTGTTCCGCGACGTCATGTTCCTGAAAAATTAAACTCATGGAACAAGGATTACTTAGCTCAAACATCTAATAACCAACTTAATTACTCCAAGACCTATGGGCAAAAGGTGTATGGGTGATGATTCCTAAGTAAGCTATAAATTAAACTATCTTAGAACTTTGAAAACAAAATAAATAAAATAAAAGCTTGGGTTGTTTCCCAAGAAGCGCTTCTTTTAAGTCATTAGCTTGATTTGTGCCGCTGATTTATCATGGTGGCTCAAACCAAGTTATTCCATCATTGCACTTTGTGCAATTTTCATTAATGCAGTCCTTTTTTGCTCTACAAATTTTAATTTGTCCATTCTTATCTCTACCAAGAAGTTCTTCAAAATTTATTTTTTTTATTCTGACAGCTTCGTTGATCAGGTGGCTCTTCTTCATCAATTCTATAGCAATCATTTTTATTGGGAGGTTTCTCATATTGGATGTAAAAATTGAATATCTTCTGCTTGTCCTCCACCCTCAAGATTAGTTCTCCCTTCTCCATATCAATAAGGGTTCGTCCCGTTGCTAAGAATGGTCGACCCAATATAATTGGAATGTCTCGATCTTTTGGTATGTCCAATACAATGAAATCCACAGGAAATATTAAATTTCCTACTTTTACGAGTACATCCTCAACTTTACCACGTGGCCTTGTGAGTGTTCTATTAGAGAGTTGTAGCGTTATTGATGCTGAGTTGACTTTACCTAGTCCCAATTTCCTGTAAGCAGAATATGATATTAGATTGATACTAGCACCAGTGTCACACAATGCATTAGTTGAATAGGAATTTCCAATTGAAACTGGTAGAGTAAAACTCTCTGGATCCTTCAATTTAGGAGGCAATTTTCTCTGGACTCTTGCACTACTTTCCTCAGTTAATGCCACAGTTTCAAACTCTGGAAGCTTTCTTTTCTTTGTCAACATCTCTTTCAAAAATTTCTTATAGCTTGGAATTTGTAGTATCACATCGATGAACGGAACATTGATCTAGAGCTTCTTGAGAACATCGAGAAATATTTCATAGTTTGTGTCTTGTTTGTTCTTCTTGAGCTTTTGAGGAAAGGGACTGGGGGGCATGCAAGATTTGTCTAGACTTGGTGCTTTGGCAGTTGATGTTTCTGTACTTTCTCCATTTTCAGTTGCGTTTGGTACAGATTTTTCTNCTCACATACTGAACTAGCCATCATTGCATTTGCTCCATGTGTTTGCAATTTTACAAGTAACTCTACCTGTTTTGTTAAAACTGTTATCTGTGCATTGGTAGATGTTGTGCTGTCTAGTTCACACATTCCTGCTGCCTTTGGTGGTACCACTCTTTTTTATGAGAACATTGAATGTGTGGTGGCAATTAACTCAGATAGGTCCATGGTTTGTTGCATTGATTTTCCTATGATTGATCCTCCAGTAGAGGCATCAACTTGAGATTTTGACAATGGTGTAAGTCCGGTGTAGAAGTACTGCACTTGGTTTCCTTGAGTGATTCCATGGTTTGGACATTTTCTCATCAGCTCGTTAAATCTAATTCCATGCCTCGTGATAGCTTTTTCCCTCTTTCTGTTGAAAAGTTTGAATTTTCAATCTGATTTTAGTTACTCTGGCTGGTGGGAAGAATTTGTTGCAGAATTTCCTGATCAGTTCTTCCCATGTAGTAATGCTGGCATGAGGCTCCGCATCTAACCACTCCAATGCAACATCTCTCAATGTAAATGGAAATAGTCATAATTTAATAGCATCTTCATTGACCCCCGGAGCATGGAAGTTCTGACAATTTCTAAGAAATGTTGGGATTCTCATGGGGTAGCCCGTAGAATTGCAGAATGTTGCTCATCAAGTTAATCCAATCCGGCCTGATCTAAAAGTTATTCACCCCAAAATCTGGGTACACAATATTGGAGCGCATGGGTGCTGCTATAGGTGTCAGGAACATTGATACTGGCAAATCACCTTCATTTATTTCCCTTCGCTCATGCTGCTGTTCCGGTGGTGTCACCACTCTTGCGACCATTTGTCCAATCGGCTGAATAGGGATATGGATTTGTTAATTGTCAGTCATTTGATGTTGCTATTTTTGTTTGTGTTCCTTACGTTCTATCTCCAAATCAAACAGTTCAAGATCGTCGTCTTGGGCACGGAGCATACAACGAACACAATTTTCTATAAATAAAAGAAAAATAAACAAATCAAATAACAGTTAAAATAAAAAAATAAATTAAGACTAAAAGAAATAGTCCCCAACAACGGCGCCAAAAACTTGTTGTAAAATTTTGTTTCGCAAATGTACGACCCGTAATAAGTAATAGTGGACCTAAGAGTCTGATTTGTCAATCCCACAAGGACTATTTTCGACCACTTAATTCAATATTTATTTAACTACTATTTGACTAACACAAATCAAAGGTTATAAAATCTGGGTTTTAGTCTAAATTCTAGAACATAAATGAATGTTCACATGATTGGTTGGAGAATCAAATAATGAATGAATGTTAAGGTAGAATAACTTCATCAATTGATCACCTTTACATCTCAAATTAAAACTCAATTCTAATGTAGTGTTCGGTCGAATTCTCCTATTGTATTCAATTTACTCCTCTCGAGTTCTCATTGAGCCTATTCAACTAATTAAATTTTATATCTCTGCAAATTCAACTAAGTTAAATGAGTTCTATGTCTTAGGAATTCAATTATGATCTCAATAAATGGTATAGGTATCTCTACTTGTTATACCAATGTACTGAATTTTACTACATGATCTAAATCTTAAACTCATATCTCTATTTGTAAAGAATTCACATAAATCATCAAATTATTGATCAGATAATTTAATTTATTCAACTCATAGCGAAATCAACACATGGAAGAATTAAAAACTGAAAGTCTTAATACGAGAATGTAAAATATCTCAATTGGTTACATTATTCCCCCTAACAATGAATTTAGCTACTCATAATACAAGAAGAAAAGTAGAAATTTGTCTTAAAAACGTTCTATACTCACCAAGTTTGTAATAAAGATGTAGAAGAAAAAGTAGAATTCTTGCACCAAGATCTCCTTCCTCTTCCAATGAATGCTTCTAATCGTCAATTGCTTGGTGTTAATCTTCTTGAATTTCTCTTTTGAATCTCCCATCTTGTTCTCTTCTCTCCAATATGTCAAGAACCCTTCAAAAGTATGAGAAAGATGTATTTATAGGTGCCTCTCCATTTTATGCAGAAGTGAGATTTCTATGGATTTAAAAACGGACCAAAAAAAATATGCCCTATATCTTCAATCGCAGCGCCTAGGCCCTATGTCTTCAACACCTAGCGCCTAGGCGCTATGGTTGTGGCACCTGGGCGCTATGGTTGAGGCGCCTAAGCGTCGTCTTTCTGCCTCAATTCCGTGTTTTTTGCCTCTTCGTCCACTTTAATACTTCTTTTTACATCGTTTTTCCCAATCTTCAAAACAACACTAACAAACACATCAAAAACGTTCTATACTTACAAGATCTAGCAAAAATCAAGCTATAATTGTGCAAAAATCATGATAACAAACTCATCATATATTAGACGAGGTCGGAGGAAAAATGATCGAAGAAGTGAAAAATGGCAGCAAATAAGGGTAGCAGCAACTTGAAGGAGATAAAGAATGAGAACGTCGACCTTGTACGACCTTTCATTTCTCTCTAATTATCTTAAAATTCTATTTATACGTCTGTTTTCACACTGATTTTATGAGTTTATATTTACGTTTTACTCGCTGATTCAGATCGTTCGTTTTGAATTTAAATGTGTATTAGTTTGTTGTGCAATATATGTTTGTTCTTGGGAGAGAAATTTCAGTACTTTGTTGCATTCCATGCAAGATTTGCTACTTTTTCCACACTGATTTTTTATGTATTTATATTCTAGAGTTTTACTTTCTGATTCAGATATTTAATCTTTGAATTTGAACGTGTGTCAGTTTGTTACGCAATATATATTTTGTTCAGTCTTTTGGGACATACATAAAATTGAGCAGTTTCAGTAATTTTTTCAGTCAATTGCACTCCATGCACGATTTGTATATTGATTGATTTTGATTTTTTTTTCTTGGTTGGGTATATATAGGAGCGCATACCGGTTGAGCAAGTATTCGAACAATTGCAAAGTTCGAAGGAGGGATTGACAAGTGCTGAAGCCGACAAGCGGCTTCAAATCTTTGGCCCAAACAAGTTGGAGGAGAAGAAGGCAAAACTTTATAATAATTTTCCTTGCTCAGTTTCAATTTTTCGATTAATTGGTTTGGTGCTAATTTATAACTTATGGTTTATAAACAGGAAAGTAAGCTCCTCAAATTTTTGGGTTTAATGTGGAATCCTCTGTCATGGGTTATGGAGTGCGCTGCTATCATAGCCATTGTATTGGCAAATGGAGAGGTGATTCTCATACAAATATTTAAAAGTACGTTGTGTTGTTCGTGTCTAACTGTAGTAAGCCGCGAATAAATGATTGCAGGGTAAGCCACCTGATTGGCAAGATTTTGTTGGTATTGCCGTTTTACTGGTGATCAATTCGACCATAAGCTTTATCGAGGAAAACAATGCCGGGAATGCTGCTGTAGCTCTAATGGCAGGCCTTGCACCAAAGACGAAGGTATTCAGAGTTCCATCCGAGCCATTGACAATACCGTGTTTCAATTTCATGGTCTTGAATTTGAGTTTTTTATCCGTTTTTGTTTTGTGAAGGTCCTGAGGGATGGCAGATGGAATGAGCAGGAAGCTGCGATTCTGGTACCGGGAGATATAGTTAGCATAAAGTTGGGAGATATCATCCCAGCAGACGCTCGATTGCTCGAAGGAGATCCCCTCAAGATCGATCAATCTGCACTGACCGGTGAGTCATTGCCAGTGACAAAGAACCCCGGGGACAAAGTGTTCTCAGGCTCCACCTGCAAACAAGGTGAGATTGAGGCTGTTGTCATTGCCACTGGAATCAACACTTTCTTTGGAAAAGCTGCTCATCTCGTTGACAGCACAGAGAAAATGGGCCACTTCCAGAAGGTATCGTTTGCAATCATGAACTTGATTGGCATATTCAACTCGTATTACACGATTTAATTACAAAAATGATCCAATTTAATTAGGTGTTGACGGCCATTGGGAACTTCTGCATATGTTCCATTGCGGTGGGCGTGGTAATAGAGATAGTCGTAATGTACCCAATACAACACCGGAGGTACAGAGATGGAATTGACAACCTTTTGGTTCTTCTCATCGGAGGCATTCCAATTGCCATGCCAACCGTGTTATCTGTGACTATGGCAATTGGATCGCACAGGTTGTCACAGCAGGGTGCTATCACCAAGAGGATGACTGCCATTGAAGAAATGGCTGGGATGGACGTACTGTGTAGTGACAAGACTGGTACTCTTACCTTGAACAAGCTCACAGTTGACAAAAATCTAATCGAGGTTGGTTATTTAATAGAGAATGACAACAAAGTTTCAAGTCGAAAAATGAAAGCATACATACTGGTAACGTAAACAGTTTTACACTCTTGGACCATGGACGTCATGTTGTGTAGGTATTTGCTAAGGATTGTGACAAGGATATGGTGATTCTTCTTGGTGCAAGAGCTTCAAGGGTCGAGAATCAGGATGCTATTGATGCCTGTATTGTAGGAATGCTGGCTGATCCCAAGGAGGTACTTTGAATTGACTGTAATGCATACTCGTCTATGGTCTAACTATCATAATCACTACGCAAATTATTTGTGGTCCAGGCAAGAGCAGGGATCACTGAAGTGCATTTCCTTCCCTTTAATCCGGTGGAAAAGCACACAGCTAATACATACATAGACAGCAATGGAAATTGGCATCGGGCTAGCAAAGGGGC